CAAGGAGAACAAATGGTTTTTTTGCTTCCTTCCAACTCTGGTAAACCAAACATGACATCCACATAGGATTTTTGGCGTAGTAACGCCTTTCCAGTTCAGTAGCAAAATATGCCTTTAATACACACCTGGAATCGAAGAAATGTGCAAAAAGTTACGAAAATGATATGTTGTTACCCATAATGGAAAATTGTAAGAGTATTGATTGAAAGTGAGCCATGTTGAAAATCTCGAGGGATTTTCTGCTCCTATATCTACAATATTCGTCAAGTTCTATCACAGTGACGGTACCCGTTCTGATATTGTCATGATTTGAAGGCTGTAAAGCCGCGCTGAGACTGTTGACGGGATAGCTGGGCAACTCGCCTTGACTGCAGAAGAATTCTTGGAGGATCACTTCCACTCCAGTTTGCCACAAAAGGTGTGGCTGTCAAGCCTCTCAGTGCGACCACTGCCTCCAACTTAAAGTCTAGATAAGGCAACAGATAACGAGAACCCTTGTGGTATGTCTATAATCCTATTACTTGTGAAAGCATGGGTGCGAAACGGCTACTGTCCACAGGAATTGGAAACACCCTTAGCTAGATGCTGTCACCGCAATTGGGATAGCATTCACCGACATCCGGCAGTGAGATGTACGTGAGCGGACGTGCCTCCGTGGGATACGTCCGACCGGAGTACTTCTCAAATCGTGCCAATTCTTCTCTGAAAAAGAGCATTATTTTTTTGCAAGAACTGTCGGGGGGTGGCAAAGTTTCTCCTCCTCAGGTCAGGTCACCTAAAATTGAGACGCCGTTCATTCGCTCGAAGCAAGCTTAGGACTAAGCCTAGGCCCAATCATAGGCTTAGGCATAAGCCAATGTGTAAGCATAAGCCTAACCTAAGTCTAAACCCAAGCTTAACCTTAGGCTTCAATGATCGCGCAGCTGTGGTGACCTGACCCCAGGAGGAGAACTGACGTCTCTCGTGAAAAAGGATCCAAGGACGTACTTGATGACTGAAACGTTCACGTGTTTGTTTAGGATCCAGTCCCAGCCATTCAAATGCGGTCCACATAGAGAAGGGTCAAGATTCTTCTTGAACGGACTTTCCCATCCCTTTTCGCCTACTTTTTGAGCTTTCCATCCATGAATCATGAAGTCAACGTCGGACCACCTGGAAAAATAATAAATCGTAGGGTTTAATAGTCGTTGCGACCAGAAAAAATCTAGCCAACATGTGAACATGTTTTTTTCTACCTTCTTCTACCCTCCCTTCCCCCGGGTACCCGACAGGAGGCCCGTCGCGCGGCAAGAAGGCAGAGTCAGCGGACGAGTCGCAGCGTGTGATGTGCAGTGTAGGACGTACAATGGCTACATTCTATTTAACTTGACGCGAAATCACTACAGTACGCGCTGCGACTCGTCCGCTGACTCTGCTTCTTGCCGCGCGACGGGCCTCCTGTTCAGTTGAGACAATGTCGGAATGTAGGCCGACCAAAACCAAAGCCTTTTCTATCTTTTCTGGCAAATGAAGGTACTTTGGGAAACATTGTTAGCGGTTCGTCGCTGGCGTAGCGCTAGGGCCGCTGCCGTGGAGATGGGTCGTGGGTGAACTGGAATGCCTGAAATCTGCTGGCCTTGATTGCGCATCTTTCTGCCCACGAATCAGCATGGCGGGAATCCCCGAAAGCCCCGTCTTTTCCTTTTTCTGTTTTTTTTTTTTCCTCCCTTTCGGGCAAGCCTTCCTGCTATGCTCACCCTCTTTGGTTTTGGAGAATGGGGGTTCTATTTTCGGCTTTGTCGACGGTTTCTTTCCGTTTTGTTTCACTGTCGTTCCATATCGAATCTCTACAATCAGTTAAGCGGCGTAAATAAATCGAGCCCGACCTTTGCCTTCAAGGGTAGCGCAACAGCTGTGGGCTCTAAAATTCTGTGAGCAGCTGGTTTATTTCATAACTTCGTAATACGAAATTACCGTTCGAAATCCGTATTCGGGGAGGTATACCATATACCGGCAGATCGGCATACATAGCAGCTGACACACCAAAATTATATAGTTGGCAGAAAAATAGAGAGACATCCATTCCTGCACCTCATCTGAAGAAAGACTCACTTGTCGGTTGTTATGAATCCATCGCGAACCCATCCATGGGCTCGGTGGTAGATCCTGATCTTTCCCGGCCAGAATCTTGTCGCACCCAATGCTTGCTTGACGCAGGACACGTAAGCTAAGTAGGTTTCGTAGCCGGAAGCATTGTGCCAAAACATTATCACAGTTCTGCATCTCCTGTGTTGCCGACGGTAGCACCGTTTTCATTATGAGAAGCTAAAAATTGTAAGAAAAGAGATTGTAGTTCAGCTGGGCTATTCTTATAATTTCCTATCGTAATTTTAATTCTCCCTAAAAAATTGCAGTGATCATGGTACGACTTACACACATTTTTTCTTTGCGGCACGCGTTGATAGGCGCTAAAGTCACCTAAGAAATAAAAATTCACGCTGAACCGAAGAAAATTAATGAATTAAGAGTTTTCAGCAAGTGGAATAGCACAAAATAGAATTTCAACGTGAAGCATAATGGCAATCTGATCTGGTGAACCCGCGGAATCGCGAAGTTGCTCCATCAAATTTGTTCATGGTCAGGACCGGAAGCTACATCACAATAATGGGAAGACAGGATTCCGCAGTGCAGCTAACAAGGGCGGCGCCTTCAGGCAAGCCGCGTTTTTTGGAAACGGTTTCTTGCATATTGTAGGGACGCATGTATGGACCACAAAACCATGTTTCGTTTTCGCTGAACGGTTTTAGCAGTACCAAAAAGTGGTGAATGATACCCTTGATGGTTCGATCCCCGCGGCGACTAAATTTTGCAATCAAGGTTGGCGGCCACTTGCTGGCTTCAAAATGGTCCTGATGATGAACTTGACATCTGATTTTGACAGTTTAGCGCGATTTGGCACCAACCGTAGGCGCCAACCCAAATGCAAAATTTAGTCGCCACGGGGGATCGAACCATCAACAGTATCAGCATCTTTTTTGGTACTGCTAAAACCGTTCAGCGAAAATGAAACATGGTTTTGTGTTCCCTACATGCGTCCCTACAATATGCAAGAAACCGTTTGAAAAAGCGTGGCTTGCCCTGAAAGACCTCCCTTGTTAAGAGCTAGCTCATGCAGAAGCAACCTTGAAAGCATACCCCATAGTTGAACTGAGACGGTTATTTCATGGAAGGAGAGAATTTTTGCTGACTCATACGAGTGAGGAAGAAAGGGTCAGAAACATTCAGCAGCACTTAAAATCAGAACCTTTTTGGCGCTGCGGGTTTACGAGGCAGAGGAGCACCAGAGCACTAACAAGGGAGGCCCTTTGAAAGCAAGCGCTTTTTGGAAACGGTTTCTTGCATATTGTAGGGACGCATGTATGGACCACAAAACCATGTTTCGTTTTCGCTGAACGGTTTTAGTAGTATCAAAAAAGTGGTGAATGATACCTTGATGGTTCGATCCCCCGCGGCGACTAAATTTTGCAATCAAGGTTGGCGGCCACTTGTTGGCTTCAAAATGGTCCTGACGATGAATTTGACATCTGATTTTGACATTTAGCGCGATTTGGCACCAAACCGTAGGCGCCAACCCAAATGCAAAATTTAGTCGCCACGGGGGATCGAACCTTAACAACCTTATGCTTCTTTTTTGGTACTGCTATAACCGTTCAGCGAAAATGAAACATGGTTTTGTGTTCCCTACATGCGTCCCTACAATATGCAAAAAACCGTTTTGAAAAGCGTGGCTTGCCCTGAAAGACCCCCTTGTAAGAACACAGTGCACCGGGCAGAGAAGAAGATAACAGAAGAGAACAGATTCCAGAATAAGAGGGCATTAAGGATGCACAGAGACGACAGGCGAGGCTGCGGGAGGCGGGACTTGCAAGCGAATGGAGACTTTGACGCCTTTGCCGGCAATTCGATCCTACAGCTCTGTGTTACCTGCCGAAGGAAGTGATCCAACTGAACTCATCTTGGGGTGGTGGGATGTGTCTTTATGCGCTTCAGCACACTTTCAGGAACCAGTTCAAGAAATCACCTGTAAAACTCCGTTATCAGCTCCATTCCAGTTGGAAGGCTGAGTGAATTCCCAATTTCCCCAGTCTTTGAGGAAATTCACCGCGAATTCCGAGTTTCGAACCTGAAGAAGTAAGTTTACCATTGATCAAGCGATAAAGAAAGATATCACTCACCAAGTAGTTGCCGCTGGCAATTTCCCAATTGAAAAATCGTTCATAGAAGATTATATCGACACGGTCATCAATCCATTCTTCAATGCAATGGTTCGGATTAACCACCCCTAAAATCAAGTAGTTTCACGCAATATATTGTAGTGTGCCTAGAAAGCACAAAATGAGGAACGTGGTCGGGGTTCAATTACCAATTTTGTCCAAAAGTCACTTATAACAACGAAGCATCAATAGAAAAATGCCTCAGGACGATACGCGTCTGCGTGACTTAAAGGCAAAGTTCGGGCTCAGACCCACCTAATAAGCCCTTAAAGTGGCTAGAAGTGCATGGGACGCAACTGCAGGCGACTCGCCAAGTTCCCGCATCCAAATGCGTCACTAAGGCGCTAGGGGCCAAGGACTTTGACACGCTCCACCTGTTGCGACACGCTCCGCCCACCGATTTGAGCAGAATTACCTCATCAGTTTAAGCTTGAACCATGCCTTTAAAGGCACGAGTCGGGTGGATTTGGGATATTTTTGCGCTTGAAAGTGAAGAGATGCGAAGTGGAACGCCAGTGAAGAAAAAACGGGAAGAAGCCGTCGACAAGACCGAAAATAAAACCTCTTTCCCAACAGCGGCGAAGGAGGCTGGCTTAGGAGGAATGCATGTCCGAACGAGTTTTCGGACAACCATTGCTGGCTCCGTGAAAGCAGCTGATACGGCAATCAACCCAGCTGATTTCACGCCTTATGCCAGCCACGGGTACCCCCCAGGAGGCCCGTCGCGCGGCAAGAAGGCAGAGTCGGCGGACGAGTTGCAGCGCGTGATGTGCGATGTAGGACGTGCAATGGACATTCTATTTAACTTGACGCGAAATCCCTATACGCGCGCGACTCGTCCGCTGACTTTGCCTTTTGCCGCGCGACGGGCCTCCTGGGGGTACCCGTCAGCCACGCATCACTTCCGGCGTTGGCGATCATAGCTCACGTCGTCCTGAATGCTAGGCCAGGGTTGTTATAGCCGCGCGGTTTCGAGTCACGAGCGCGGCATCACCTCTATGGTTGCAGACCTGGTCATAGTATCGACGAAGCGGATTCCATTGATCGCTTAATCCCGACCCGTGCCTTCAAAAAAAGTCAATTTCTCTCTTTGCATATCTTTCTTCCACTTCTTCAAAAGAAATCAAAGAGCATTTGGCGCGAGAACTACTCGCGTGAGCAGCTAATGTCAAGCCTAATGCACTTAGCATGGATTGCAGAACTGTTACCACCAAAGGGGCCCTCCTGATCAGAGGAATGAAAGCTTGATTGAGCAGCACTAGATTCTCTCATAGAAGGGATGTCAAGCGTCCTTCAGTCCTTGCCATCAACTTGAAGAGCACTGG